AACGCTTTCTTGATTGTTCACGGCACTGTACGTAAAAACACACTCTCAAACTTGACAACATTCACTTTCAAACCACTAATTTAAGCAAATAAATGAAAATACCAGTTGCATAAATCATGAAGATTGATGATTCGACTGCTGGACGGGATAGCTGTATTTCTATGCAATGTAAAATCATATCGCTGCTGTAGACAGCGACGGCTGACATATTGTTTTGGTTCCGCTGCTCTCCTGGCGTGTTCTGGGTTGTATATAACAGTCAGACACTGATAAGTAAACAGTCCGGGACATAGTCAATATGGGAGTCTGAATCAGTTATGCCCTGAAGATAGCGTCGTAATACAGTATTCCATTAATGAACGAAATTCACATTACAATCCTATGCTTACAAATAATCCGATAACTATGCAGGAGAATACAGTACTGGATGTAGTCAAATTGGGAGGAAAGTATACTATGGACCCTATGGTTAAAATGTAACTACAGAATAAATGTTAGTGAATACAATATTTTTTTTAGTCCTGTAGCAAACATGGACAACAGAAGTAGCGGCACAAAATTTTTCATGGGGAGGGCGAGAGGATGTTTCCCCTTTAGCAATTTTGAAATCTAGACCCTCCGAAACGCTATTTCTTGTATTTTGAGGGACAAATTTTGCTGACACAAAGGGCTTCAGTTTAATTTTAGAGGGAATTATTATTAAGCAGTTTAAGAAACATACAAATTCTCAACAACGATAAAAGGACCAGTTACTGAGACAAAGCCCTACTCCCCGTGAAAGCCACCCGATACAAAACCCACATACTGCGAAAGTCACTTATCGCGAGGCTACTAGTGTTATCAGAATATCATACTCTTTTTTTATATCCCTGCACTTAAACTGAATCACCTCTGGCCATTTTGCTCTGTTTGTGGGAGATAGACGACAAAAACACAAATGAGATGGAATGAAAGGCCAAGTATTCTTGACATTTATTGAAAAATGAGAGGCTTGTAAACCATAAAAAATCCCTCGCCAGTTTCCTCAAACTGAAAGATTACAACAGAAAAACCTCCAAGGAGGTCACAGGTCAAAGGTCAAAGGTCAACTGGCGAGGAAACCTTTCAAAACAATAAATCAGTGAAAATTAAGCACAAATTAATCTCCCACAAAGGTGTGGGCCCCAGAAACACCACAAGCCACACTATTGTGTGGCCGCCCCACCCAAAATGACCAGAAGCAGAGGTAACTCCTTATGAAAGTATATTACTTAAGTGAACACTAACTAAATTGCTTGAATCCGATTACAGCGGCCCCTGCCTGACTGATATCGAATAGAAGGAAAAACAGAACAATGTAAGGTACCCATATATAGCGGCCCCTGCCTGACCTATATTCAAGTGCAAAACATGTTTCGCCTATTCCTGTAAACATGTTACCATACTGCTGGTTGCCTAATATATCCCTTGAATGCATCTGACTTCTATCTACCTAAAACACGAATCTGAGCATCAGACAACCCATCTGAAGCAGCTTGTGAGGCTGCTCCTATACAAAAACTATGTCCCTTAAACCTATCAACATTAAAGCCACAAAACTCAAGAGAACGCCTAAGCTGAGCTGTGAAATCACCCCCTCCAATGCCCACTTCCATTTCCAATTGACTGGTAGCGAATGTGATGGAATTGGGGTTGGATTGGTATCCATGCCATAAACCATTGATCTGAACTGATCCACCTGCAAACGAGAAAGACAGTGGAATATGTTTTGCTCTAAAAAGAATGTTAAACTGAAGGCCAATGAGCACGATCCGATGAACTAAAACCATCAGGTCCTTATCCTTTGCCGACTGCTTATTCAAGACTGACACCAGGGCCTCATTGTCAGTGAAGAACAACACCTGCTTGTTACTGAGATAATGCCCCCACACTTCAAGAGCCAGCATAACTCCAAGACTCCAATATTAAGGACTTTCCAGTCAACTGGCCATTCCCCCAAAAAACAATGAGAACTAAAAATGCCACCGTACCCCATTGACCCAGCTGCATCTGTGAACAAACAAAGAGATTCGGACGAATGCCAGATAGCATCCATAAAAATTGTCTTCCCATTATAACTATCCAAAAACTGCTTCCACACAAGCAGGTCTGCTTTAACCTCTTTGGTCAACCGGATATACAAATTTGGTTTGTTTATCCCTTTTGTCAAATCAATTAACCTACGCAAAAATGCCAGGCCTGGAACCACCACAATACATGAAAAATTTAAGGTCCCCACCAAAGACTGAATTTTCTTGAGCATCACCTTTTTCCTTACTAAGTAAGTATCAATCAAGCTGCGGCAACGCAACAGTTTATCCTGTGGCAGTCAACACTCGCCTTGAACTGTGTCTAACTCAATACCTGCAAACACCATGGAAGTGTTGGGTTCCACAGTCTTTTCCTGTGCAATTGGAACACCAAAGTCAGCACACAAATCCAAAAAAGCCTGCAAATCTGAAAAAACAGTGCTCTCTAGTTCGTGCCAGAAATAAGAAATCATCCAAAATGTGGATAGTTGCTTCAACACCCACAACTTTAAGCAAAAATCCACTCTAAAGCTGAACTAAAATTTTCAAAAATGCGGCATGATGTTGTGCACCCCATTGGAAGACATCTATCGAAAAAGAAATGATCATCCCACCTGAAACCCAATAAACAATGGTCATGTGGAGCTACTGGAATAATTCTAAATGCTGATTTGATGTCAGTTTTAGCCAAGAAACAGCCTAGACCCAGATCCCTAATAATCTTCACTGCATCATCAATATTGGCATACTGAACAGTTGCCAACTCGGCTGGAATACCATCATTTATTGATGAGCCTAATGTACAATATAAGTGGTGTATTAAGCGAAACTTGTTATGTTGTTTTTTGGGCACCAGTCCTAAAGGAGAAATATACGCAAATTGTTAAATGTTGGAGGTTGAAAGGGACCAGCAACCTTGCCTGCCTGCACCTCAGTTTGAAGCATATTCCAAACAATGTCTGGATTATTCAATGCAGATTTCAAATTAGGGGATGACCTCCAACTCTCGGTCCTACATATTTTAAAGAAAACCCTTTTGAAAAACCATCCAACAAATACAACGCCTTCCCCACATCAAAACCCGTCAGTAATCTACTCATAATGGGCACTTTTACTGGGGTACCACTAAAGGCAGCAGTTTGGGGTTTGGAGCCAACAGGACCCCGGGGAGTATAAAGGGGCTCTTTCTTTTTCTGGTGTTAGCTTGTTGTGGCAATCCCCCATTGATTTTACTAGTGGGACTGCAGGAACCACATTTGAAAATTGTATGAGTTGCCCCACTCTTGACGCACTTGTGTGGTCGAAACGGCACCCAGCACAGAACTTTCCCCCATGAAAACGCCAACAGAACCCGTTCGGAAAGGACTGAAATGAATTAGCAAACTCCGATTTTTTAGAAGTCGAAAAGCTTCGACCAGCATTGATATTTTTCCCCACCATAATTCCCAGTGTGTCTGGTCCCAGGGTAGTGGGGTTGACTGCTTCAGAAAGCGAAATTTCTCATCATAAAACATCCAGCCAGACATTTTTGCTGCCAGGTCATGCACCACCTCTCCATATTTCATAAGACCTGAAATATCCTCAGGCTTCTTTAGAGTATACACTGCTACAAAGATGTTAAATGCAGAAATCCACTGCTCAATTGACGCAATTTTCTTAGTACTAGCAGCGGGCTCAAGACAAAGCTGAGGCCTACCCACACCATCAGATAATGCAACGGTGTACCTACCATCCCGCAGAGAGGGATTACTAAGCAGAGTAGCGAAATCAATATAATCACCTGCGCAGATTTTAGATTTAACCTTATCTGACACCCTTGCTACCAAAGGTACAGACTGGCTAGTGAACAGTGTGGTTGGCTGTAGCTCTCTCTCTCTGAACCCTGAATTATAGGTTGCTGTGTAACCTGAATTACAGACAAATCACTAATTTAATC